GTTACGTTAGTACCGACCGTAGTCGTGCACGTAACTTAAGTTACCCCCGTACCCCTACCCCCCCCCCCCGAAAGAGACATGGACTGTATAAGCGCATAAGGTCACTACTACAAATAAGACCTTTAGCGGCAATACAAATTGGCTTTAGCGGCAATAATAATAGCCGCTATATCTTTTACCGGCCATTGGTGTTTAGCCGCTGATGTTGGGGTCGCTAAAGCCTTTAGCGGCTATTGTCACAAAACCTGGTAAAAGGTATTGTTTATTGCCGCTAAAGATTATTATCTTTAACGGAAATTGTTTGCGACAATTATAATGGCTGCTAAATCTAATCCATAACGGCTAATTATACTGCTTTAGCAACCATTTTTTATAGCTGTTAAATTTAAAATAATTGCCGCTAAAAGTTCACATCATTAACGGCAATTATTATGGCTACTAAATCCAATCCATAATGACTAATTATTCTCCTTTAGCATCCATTTTTATAGCCGTTAAATTCAAAATAATTGCCGCTAAATGTTCACATCTTTAGCGGTAATTATTTTGTGGCAATTAAAATGGTCATAGTATCACTTCTGAAAACATATTAGTTTGCCATTTTAGTGGCTAATATGTTTAACTAAATTGCCGCTAAAAGTCAATATTTTTAACGGCAATTATTTTACAGCAATTATAACAGTTGCAATATCCCTTGTAAAATATCTTAATTTGCCCATTTATCGTCCATTTATATAGCTGGTATATCCAACTAAATTAGCGCTAAAAGTCACAAGCGCTAATAGCAATATTGTAGCCACCATTAATAATAGTTACTACATTTATCCAAAATATGACCCAAATAAGAAAATATATTAATATTAAGTTTAAAAAAACATAATATATCTCATTAAATCTTAACAAATTAAAGGAAGCACCAATCAAAAATATTGATGTCACAATAACTAAACTTATATTGTTTGAACTAAATAGCTAATGTTATTATATAACTAATCCAGACGAATGATGGTCTTCAAACGATTTTCGCAACTTTTCATCATTATGAAATCTTCCACCCGCTGAATTATCGAGCATCAAATTGTATGACCTAAAATTATAAAATAATTGTATCAAAAGATAAAATACAATATGAAAAAAACATCTTCAAAATTCTATCACTGTCACGATTCATAAACAGAAAAAACATTTGTATTAACAGAACAACCATCAAGCAGAATAACCACAAAATGCAAAAAATTTAAGCTGAAAACAGTCACCAAAAACTGCAGAAATTGCTGAAACAGTGCATATATCAGTAACAGGAATAATACAGATTTTATTTGCTCTAATGCTAGTCCAAAGCTTCAGGTTTCAGCAGCTCACAGATGTAGAAACAATGCTGATTTTACAGTCCAAACTGTGCAGGTTTTGCTGCTCAAATTTTGCTACCATTGAGAAATTTTCAAAGTTCATCAGTCAACCTAGAGTCTCTTCACTGGCTATACAAGAATGACAGGCTTTTCACTATGGCTGAAGCATCTTCTAGGAATAGAAACTGGCTTCAGTCAATCCCCATGTTTTTTTAAAAAAATTCGAATAAACTTATTTGAGTTATACTTCACTCTGAACTGAAGGGCACAATTAAGCTTGTCTTCCAACCTGCAGAAGAAGGATATGCTGGTGCCTCCTATATGTTAGAAGAAGGTGCATTAGATGGGTTTAAAGCAATATTTGGCTTGCATGTCTGGCCATTTATGAACGTAGGCACTATTGGTTCGAAACCTGGTCCTATTATGGCTGAATCGAGCAGGTTTACTGCAGTAGTGCAAGGGAAAGGCGGCCATGCAGCAATACCACATAAAACTAGGGATCCAATGTTGGCTGCTTCTATGGCAGTTCTTGTACTCCAACAACTCATTTCTCGAGAAACTGATCCTCTAGAGCCTAGGGTATTTATCGCTCTGTTTCCATTTAGTTACAATATAGGTCTGCTTTTTGTTTAGAATTCTAAATTTCAAGCAGAATGGTCTAAAGATCCCTGTTGATTTGCAATTATATGCAGGTTGTCTCTATTACCTTTGTAGATGGTGGTCAAGCTTGAAATGTAATCCCTGCAAGTGTAAGGTTTGGTGGAGCCTTCCGGTTCATGACATTAGAAGGATATTCCTATCTTAAGCAGAGGATCAAAGAGGTATGCATAAGGGTTTTGCGAGGGGACCAAGTCCCTCCGCAACTTCTAGAGAACTATCCGATCTTTTGAGCTTCTACAATCTATATAAACTGTAGCCTTGCTAACTTCACCTATATCAGTCAATAGAAGAGTCAAACGATAAATCTACAACTTGTGCTTTACGCTTTTCAGAATAAATTCTTCCACATTACCTATAGTCCAGCTTTTTAGTAATATCTTGTTGGGTATGTATAAAATGTTATAGTTGATGAGTAACACTAGAAATACTTGCTACTCACAGATCATTGAGACTCAAGCAGGAGTAATATCTTCTGGATAAGCATTATTCCTGTATGTATATGTGGCAACAAATTTCAAATCACTAACAAAGATGGAGTCTTTTTAGTTTATTTTTTAACTGCGGATTATTTTTAATGTTCTCTTCTCTGAATTGGAATTATAAATTCGCTTAATATACCTTATCCAAAATTTCTAGTTATAGCTCAAGTTTGTAATGCTAAAAGGCAGGTTATTGTTTACACATCCAAGTTGTGTAAGACTCTTATCCAGGTCTTATCCCTTATGCTTTCAACTAATGGGTTTCCTAAAGCTTTTAAGAATTTCAGAGCTACAATTTGCTTTTTTATTGTTACCAACTACCATTATTTCCAAGGGATTTAAAGCTTTAAAGCAAACTGTTAAGATTTACTATAAGCTAGGGAAGTACAAGGAAATGATGGATGCTTATCGAGAAATGTTGACCTACATAAAATCAGCAGTGACACGGAACTATAGTGACAAGCAGGAGTAATATCTTCTGGGTTCTATTCCCAGAAGATGGCAACTGCATTTTTCTTCATTGGGATTGACTGAAGGCAAAAGAGTGAACATTCACCAACTGAAGGACTTGGTTGCACTTGGGATCTGTCCCTTGCTGTTGATAAACACTATAACTTTGACCTCTATAGTACTTAAACCTCAGTGTAACTATTTTAACTCTTAAAGAACACAGCTATAGAGATCTCTTTAGTTAAAGTCTGTTAACCTGTCTTCCCCTATTAGCAGCAGTAGGTATACTTGCTGCTTGTGTAACCTGTTGATCTGCCAATTCTGGCATAGAAACCAATATCTAACTATAATTATTCAAGTCCAAGGATACTTGCTACCATATTTTCCTTCTACTAGCAGCAGTGAAGAAATATTCTCCACTGCTGACTGCTGTGTATTTACGTCTACTGTTTTCCATCAAAGTACAAGCCAAAGATGGTGTATACATTCAGGCATGTTCGACATTCTATCTCACCTTCTTTGAACGGTCTTGTAAAGCATGACCATAACATATTTTGAGCAAAAACAATGTGTTACACCAAGTGCTACAACTGACCTTGGAGCTTCTATGTTCTCAATATACAGATGGTTTAGAATTCTGACATATCACATGTTCTTATGGCATCACAATATCAGTAAGAAAAAGCTCACAATATGGTGAAGGGTGGAACATGGTAACCTCTAGAAAATCACCTACAAAGAAGGTGGAATCACCAAAACAACAGAAAACAACTGCTCGACGAAATGCCACTAGCAGTAAGAGAAATATAAAAGCAAGAAGCATCCAAGGTAAGCCTAAATAAAACAACAAATTAATAAAAATTGAAGGAGGAAAACTCAAATAATAGCGACAAAAGGACAAAGATGAGTAGTACCATGAGAAGGTTGAGCATTTTCAGCAACACTAAGCATCCTTGATGTTTGTGGTACTCGTTCATGTCCACTATTGGCATCAGGGATCTAATAAATATTAACATGTTAGATAACAATACTTTTATATGATAAGAATTTCATTAAAAATGTCTAAAGCTTATGAAATGGAGTTACCTATTCACCTGAGGTGCCATTGCTACTTTGAGGCATAGATGCATCAGGAGCATATTTGCGCATGAGTTGTCTCATTTGGAGTAATTCTGATTGCATCATCTCCTGATTTTGTTTCATCATATTCATTTCTTCATTTTGTTTCTCCTTTAACTCGATTATCTTCTGTTCTAACCAATTTGTTTTTAGCTCTTTTGTTTATTGACCGCCAATTTAACTAGTTCTAAAGCTAAATAAAATATTTTGCTGTTATAAACAGATCATAGTCGTGATTTTCTACACGACTACATGATGTCCGGGCTTGGGAAAAGGATGTATAGGTAACAATTTTCTACAGTTTGCTAATTGTTAACATCCTATTAACTTCTTAGCATGAAGAAGTTGTTTTAGCTCACATAAAATTTGGCACATTAGAAGTAAGGCATTCTCCCCTGCTGGAACTTGAGCTGACAACCGCCTTTTGGGCCAGTCGAAAAGTTCAGTTGTTCAACTGTGAGCAGACATATGTTGAACTATAGGAAGAACGGATAATTCCCTTGATTGGATCTGTATCTGAATTTTGAGTATACAAAATCTGTGTTTTGTCATTGTACCCTTCCCCAGATGTAACAAACAGATGCTTTTTTGACACATTCAAGCGAACAATGATTATTTAATGAACACAACAGTTTGTTTGAAGGCGACATTCATCTTCCTCACATCTTTTCTGCTTTTACTAGAGTACTGTACGCAGTTCTAACCCATTTTGTTGTACTCCCATGTTTTCCTATTAGATAGTTTCTGTTAACATTTAACATCTATATGTTAAAGTTCACCTCTCATGCTTTTGCCAATGAGGACAGATCTTATTATTGCGTCCCGCATCTCAAAATGTTAAGGACTTTCAAAGAATGAAGAAATGTAAAACTGGAACTGATCAAAGATTTCTTGAATTGAGATCATACCCTAAACATGGATAATAAGAGAAAGTTGAATGTAAATGCAGTTTACATCGAATTGGGTTTATACATTATTCAGATTCTTTCACCAAACCCCGTAATCCATCATTTCCCCCTCTTTACAGTTGAGATTTCAATTGAAGGTGCCAACATTTTCTACAATTCAGATCAAAACATGGACCTAAACGATTTTGCGTTGGGGTGAAACCAAAAATTTCAATTCCATTTTGACCTCTTATGACAATAGCCAAAGCTAAGACTCGATATTTGTGAAAGGAATTGGAAGATACAAAGCTGGATATTCCAAGATATAATCGTTTTGGGGGTGGATATATTTTTTGATTGAGTGGGGTGGGGGGGAGGGGGTAGGGGGGAGGGGGGTAGTGGTGGGCTGGAGATAGGATTAATCGGGGAGACTGTCACACCTCCCTTTTTACGCCACACCTGTGAGGGTGTAAAGGAGTTTTTCCAATTAAAGGACAGTCGGAACGGGATTTATTATTAACATTCAGAGTCGCCACTTGGGAGATTAATGGTGTCCCCAAGTCACCGGTTGAATCCCGATCCGAGGAAATTATGACTCTGTTAACAGTCCGCGAACCAGAACTCCGAGTAAGGAATTTTGTTAACCCGGGAGAAGGTATTACGCATTCCCGGGTTCCGTGGTTCTAGCACGGTCGCTCAACTATTGTATTTGCTTTTATTTGATTTTAAAAACATGTTCTGGCTTATGCGCTTTTACTAGTAAACCGCTTTTATTTCTATTTTTAATAAGAATTGCAACGTCGTAAAAATGCGCCTCAAACCACGTCGCACCAGTGCACCCGTGATTATTAACACATCTCGACTTTGTTGAGATTTGGATTTGGGTCACATAAATGTGCTACCGAATTTAGGAAAGTAATATTATTAAAATACACGCCTAAAGCAACTAGCGTATTATTAACTTTGTGAGAGGCCATGAAATTCGCTAAATGGCTTTTCCCGAGGTCTAAATATTTTAAATACGATTAAGGGGGCCACGCAATTTGTGATTCTATTTGGCGCAGCGCACCTCGAGTATTTTAAAAGGATATCCTAAANTTATTCTAAAAGGGTATTCGAACTAAATTATAAAGGGCCATGAACTAGGACCTAAGGGAATTGTGACTACTTCACCAAGAGTTGAACCCATTATTAACCCAAAAGATTTCAGGCCTGATGGCAGGTCCAAACACTCTTCAAAACCTCTATTCAGAGACAAAAAATCATGAGGCTGTCCGAATGCAATGGACTGCCCTTCAGATGAAAGGGTCTCGATGTTCAGGCCCAAAAAGAGCCCAAACATTAGTGAGCATATGTTGTGGGCATGAGACTAGGAATCGAACCACAGAAAAGACAAATGTATATGCAAATCAACCAATGTTCTAGGCACTGTTACTATCATCAATAGAACGGGTTTGTGCAATCATCAGTTAATGCAACACGTGACATGCAACACATTAAGCTCGTATCCATAATCGATTGACCTCATGCATACAAGAGCTCCGTATCAAACTCGCAGGCCTTCAAATCTGATTTTAAAACTACAATTACATATACAGCCCTTTGAACATTTGAAAACTTACATAAACATGGACATCACTAAGTTAAAATGCCCCTAAATCAATAAACCCAGTCCCAAGTTTGTGCATAAGTGGATCTGAGTATGTGATACATAAACCCAAGCCCAGTCTAGGCTTGAAAGCCCAAGTATGTCCAAGCTCAAAATCAGAGGATTAGACTCGAAGTTGAGTCTAGATCAGCAACCAAATCTGCTGCATTCAAACATGTTAATTCTTCATAATCCTATCCTAATTACACGTTCCATGTTAACTACAATGACTTAACAACATGATCTTTGTAATTCAACAGCCCATCACGGGTCTAAAACTACTGATACATCTATCAATAGATCAATCCATTAACCTAATAGCTCTAACACGTGGCAATCATTAACCCTAACAATAGCCTTATTACAATCCCAATCTGAACCCAAAGTTTTAAAACAAAAATCACATTAATCATACTGGGAAAAATAATTGATAATACAAGCTAAGAAACGAGCTAAACATGAAAGTATAATCTTCAATCCTCTTCAATAAATCACCTCATGATCTGTTTTACATGCTTAGGTCAAGAATATGTACCTGGAAAATTGAAAAGAAAGAAGCAGGATAATCAGAAACCCAGCAGCAAGTTTCAGCAGCAGTAACAGTACAGCAGAATCAGCAGACTATTTTTGAAACCGGCAGATGAGATGCAACAGTCCAGATTTTAGTTTGAAACTCAATGAGTCGACAGACCCCAAACCAGACTTGATTTGAACCCAACTTCAAACCATTTCGACTCCAAATGAAGCAGCACAATTTTAAAAGATCAAAACCTCAAGGCTCAAGCAGAATTCCCAATGGAACAGTAAACCAGCAATCCTATTTTCGTTTGAGTTTCTCTGATTTTTTTTATTAAGCTCTCTTTTCTCTCTTTAGGTTTCAAATTTTAGGCTCTGAAATCTCTCCCCCAAAAAAAAAAATCTCCCTTCTAAGGCAAGAAAGAGTGCCTTTATAGGCAAGCTAATAGGGCAACCTTTCAGATTTTAATTTACCCCTTAGGTCCCTGATTTTTATGACTTTTTCCTCTTATTTTCTTACTTGTGTCACAAGTAACTACCCTAAGTTTACTAAAGTCTACACTATAGCCCATCCTAGAAGGTTCTATACTTATCACAATCCCTATCCTATCCTTATCCCTCTTCAAAAATTACCAAATCTAATAAAACTACCCTTTTTCCATGCCCAAACTACCCTTAAAACCTCCTGAAATTACTGGCCATTGCTAAACCCGCCAGCTATAACCAAACCACTAATCTAGCCTAAACTAATTAAGATTAATTAATAAAACTTGAAGCTCAAACTGAAATTAAACCAATTAGACTAACAACCAGGTTCATTTAGTCAGACCAAAACTCCAATTTAGACATGCATCAACAACTATTGAACAAATACGGATCCAAAGCAACAAATCAACCTATTAACCTACTGAGTCAGAATCAACTTTATTATCAGAAAAGCAAGCCTATCAACTTGAATCAAAACTAACAAGAAGATCAGAACTATCAATTGGTTGGCCTAAACGAACATTTGGATATATAAACTGGCAAAGGTAAGATGAAGTACAAACTAAGAATTAACCAAACTAACACTCAAACTAATCACAGAAAACAAATAAAAATTGACTAACAATTAACAGGAACCAAAAAACTCAGAGAAGAGAAACTTACTGGCTTTAGGAATTCTGGCCAACCAACGACGTTCGAATCTTTCAAGATTTTTGACACGCAACATCCCTAATCGTGTGTTTTCGCAAGAATACACCTGATTAAGGATGGTGCGGTCCAAAATCACGAAGATTTTGAATTAGGGTTCTGCCGGGATCGAAATTTTAGATTCGTGACATTCCGGACAGATTCGAGGGACGGGGCTTGGGGGGTTTGAAAGAGGAGGTGAATGCGGTTAGGTGGTGTAATTTGGGGGTAGTTTGGGTGGGGTTTCGTCGTGGCCGGAAAACTTAGTTTCGATATTTGAGACGTTTGGCCGGGATTCGAGACAAGTGGCTATGGGGGTTGGGTAGAGGAGGTCAAGGCGGTCCCATGGTGTTAATTTGGGGTTATTTGGAGCTTCGCCGCCGGCGGCGCGATTTCCGGCCGGCGGCGAGCGGCGGGGATGTGGTGGAACAGTGGTGGGGACGCGGCGGCCGGTAGTTCCGGCGGGGTCACAGAGATGGTACGAGGAGGGAGAAGATGTTTTTTTAGGGTTGAAGCTGTTTTTCAGACAGTTACATCTAAATTCCCATCTCAAACGATGGCCGTTGGATCACAAGAATTTGACGGCCATGATTAAAAGTCGCCTAAACGGCGTCGTTTCAAGAAGGGGATGGACCAGGTAATGGGGATGGGTATGGGCTGGGTCGGCTTGGTTGGTTTTAATTCGTTCTGGACTAAGGTTTTAATTGAAGATTGACCCAAATTCCCTTAATGGCCTTTCTTTCATTTATTCCTTTATTTGATTTTTTTTTTTGCATTCTCTTTACTTTTGCTTTTGTATTTTTCTAATTTTTCAAAGATGCAAAATTAAACTAACAATTAAGCTAAAACTAATTAATGCCTAAAATTTTATTTAATAACTATTTTGTGACAATTTCACGGTTAAAACAA